GAAGTTGTTCTCTGCTGGGTCCTTAAGAGGTCTTTATCTCATCATACAAAAAGTCAAAAGATGTATTAACTAAACAGCCAAAAAGTCGACCTGTGTGACCTTGAGCAAGTCACCTAACTTTCCTGGCCTGTTTCTTTCCTTATAGCCTTTAAAAAAAATAAAGAGGTTGCTATCAAATTATTTTTCAGGTCTTTTAGATTCTATTCTATGATGCTGAGGTTGGTTTAGGGGAGAATTACAGACAAGGTGGACCTCATCACAGCACAACAGAATTTACCTTCAAATAACAAATTTACAAAAACTGGTAAGAACATCACTCACTTACAGGGCTGTATAGCTGGAACCTGCACTAGATTTCCCATGTGGCTTTTGAACATCACTGAATACAACTGGGACCTGAATACCAGTGTATTGTGACTACATGTGTGTGTGTGTTTGTGTGTGTACCCTGTGGTACATGCTCCAAGGGACAAAATCAGGATGCTATTAGAGTTATGACTATGCTTGATCTAGAATAGGAATTGAGAATTTAAAAGATGAGCAATAAATGAGGGATGCAGGGGCAAAAATTGGTCAAAGAAAACTTCAGGTGGGAGGACCCTGAGCAATGAAGAGCTGGATAGTGTCCTTTTTCTAAGAACAATGAGAGCCCATAAAAGGGTTTTAGATAATGAAGTGATGTGATCAGGTTTTCCTTTTCTTAAGGGTTACCTTGGTTCCTCTGTGGGGAATGGGTAGAAGGGAAGAGAACTTTGGAAGCCCTGCTCATTAATAATTTATAGCAATATTTTCCCTTTAATTTCCCTCTCATTTTTTACTCTTGATTGGCAGTTGCTTCAAAGCTCTCTCCTCTCTTTTCCAAAAAACTCTCTAAAAATATTCTCACTGTGTCTTCAATCTTTTCCCTCATTGTATATATTATCTTTCCCCTCACGAGTCACTCCCTGCCTTTTTCATGAGAACACGGTGCTTCCTCCAACTTGTTGAATAAATCAAGTACCAAAATGGG